TGAAGTTCTCCAGAGGCCTGGTAATGAACTAATCATTTGATTCAGGTGTGTTGACCCAGGATGAGATCTAAAACCTGCAGGACACCGGCCCTCGAGGCCTGGAGTTCGGCACCCCTGATGTAAACGAACATGTTTCAATCCTGTGTTCAGCTGAGTTATTCTTGCCTCTCCCGGAGAGTCATCTCTGACTTTTAAGTCTCGACATCTTAAAGTCTTTCACATGCAAACATACATACATCGGGTCAGTGGGTATCAGCCTTCTGTCCTCAAAAAACTGAATAAAATTTGTACTTATAATCCTTCGATCACAAGTTTGCATGAACATGAACTGAATAATTGTCTCTTATGGAGTGGGAAAGTTGTACATCTCCCTACACTAAAGAAATCAGTGGTTCTGTCTCGCTACAGTTGGTAAGGTTAAAGTGACAACAGTTAACTCATTTCTGTGATTTTGTTTGGTTTCAAGGCAACGTTCAAAGGCTGGATGGACATCATGTACGCAGCGGTGGACTCGAGAGCTGTGAGTAACAACAAAACATTTCACCATCTGAATAGAGTAAGATTCAAAATGAGTTCAGCATCACTTTTAGCACCTCCTCTGGACATTAGAGGAACTGCAGGTTTCGCCTAGTTTTCTTCTGTGGTTGTTGGCGCTCGATTAGGACTGGAAACAAAAAAGGGTCAAATTAAAGTTCAATGAAAAAGAAATTTAAACAGATTGATATGATGTCATGTTAATAACTGATAATGTCTTTAAAATGTCAGATGTGAACAGGATTAAAGGTGGAACAAACATTGAATACAGTCAAACTGAAAGTCAGATCCGTGTGTTCCCTGAACAGGTGGAGGAGCAGCCTATCAAGGAGATCAACCTGTACATGTACCTGTACTTTGTCATCTTCATCATCTTCGGCTCCTTCTTCACCCTCAACCTGTTCATCGGTGTCATCATCGACAACTTCAACCAGCAGAAGAGAAAGATAAGTACCACGGCTGACACCAGCGTCACACATGTGAAGCAAATGGCACAGGAAACGCACGTTTACTTTCTACAGCTTCGCATTTTAAATCAAAGCAAAAGCGTCTGAATATATATTAACATGTTTGTAAGAACATTAGATGGCAACCTTAAGTCTTATAAAATAACATAGATGTTGCTTGGTTTGTTTACTTAGGAGGACAGGACATCTTCATGACCGAGGAGCAGAAGAAGTATTACAACGCCATGAAGAAACTCGGCTCCAAAAAACCTCAGAAGCCCATTCCCCGACCGACGGTACCGACACAGCACGTCCACCTTAAAAACACTAATTCAGTTCCACATGATACGTCTAGAAATGGTTTCATTGGTATTGTTTCTATTCAAACAGATTTTGAACAGTTTTAATTAACAGTTTATTAAGTATGTTAAAGTTAACTTTGTAAGGACAGAAGCGTTTTTTATTATCAAGTCGAAGCCGAATGGAGGAAACGACCTTTAAATATGTATGTAATCATTCCAATGATCTAAAATTAATTTTGGCCACTTCTGCTTTTTTATTTTTCAATTAATATTTGGCTGCAAACACAATAGTTAGGTTCATAAGTTATTAGATTTCACTTTTCCTCTGTGGATTCTTTCAGCTTTAATTTGAGGGCTTTAACAAAAGTGTTGCTTTAACTGTTTAGGAACTACAGACATTTTCACACAGTCTGAATTAACTGGATAATTGACTGACCAGCAGTCCCGTGGCCGGTGAAGTATCAAAGCGCTAAGTTTGTATTTTATAGCTTTTCACTTTAAATTTAAATATCAGGCCGTGAAAGATGTCGATGGAAGTGAGCGACGCCATCGTTAGGCTGGAAAGACAAAGCAAGACGAGGCAAACTTTTAAGAGTGGCTCAACAAACAGTCTTAAAAACGATGAATGCACTGAGCAGCTCAGCAGTGCCAAAATGCCCTAAAGGACAAGAGAAGTGGATGATCACAGAATTCTTTCCTTAGTTAAGAAAAACAATTTGACAACATCTGACCGAATCATGAGAACTCTAAAGAACGAACGAGAGCCTTTATCAAAGTCTTCAATAAAACAAACAAACAAACATAACAAAAGGTGCAAACCACTGGTTACACTCAGCAAGGTCTGACTAGGCTTCGACAGAAAACATCTGAAGATGAATTTGTCCCAAAATGATGGGAAGAGAAAAAACTGCAAAAAGTAACCCAACAGTTTCTCAAGATAAGAGAAATTGAGGAGAAATCAGAAATGGGATCTTCTTAAATGGCAAAGTCAGTCTCCTGATCTCAACTCGAGACAATGTTTGCCCAGTTAAGACCCACAAACAAGCAACTGATGTGCTGCAGTAAAGGCCTGGCAGAGCGTCAGTGGAGGAAACACAGCTTCTGGTGATGGTCACAGTTTCTAGACTTCAGGCTCATCATAGTTCCAAGTTCAGATTTTCATTTTTTTTAAGAGTTTTTTTAAGCAAAATTAGAAAAATTGTGCAAACAACATATGAACCCAACTGTTCAATAGATTAGAGATTACGTCCTGTGAGCATCTGAAACGTGCAGGAAGCGTTGTTGGGAAAGTGTATGACAGATGTAGCTGTAGTAAGACATGTATGTCATCTTCAGTTTATCGACTGGCTTTCAGAGGAACGTGTGACTTACCAGCATATCAGAAAACAGAGCAGCCTCTCACTGAAGAATCTGTTTACTTAAAAAGGATCATTAATATGAGTGTACTTCACAGTGACGCACAACATGCCCTTTATACCTGATAAGAGATGTTATGATATACACCTATAGTATACCTCTGTATGTACCTCAAAATCCACCTGAAGATCAGCTTCTACTGCTCCAAGAATTTAGACGAGCCTTTCTAGGAGACTGATAGTTTATGTTCAGTTAACTGCTACATTAGTGGGTGCATAATAAATGTAGCCACAACCACACTTTCCATTTCAAGTAATCAGCACCAAACTATGCAGTAATTATGTTTGTATTATACATCTAACCTCTTACATTTCTAGGAAAAGAAAGAGTTTTTGTGGAAATTGAACAACATAGAATCAAGTGTTTTTGTCAAGGTTTTCTTTTTAATCACTAATCATTAGCTAAACCGTGGCCGGGGCTCAACAGCTGTTGATGTTGAGTTTAAAACGCAATCTAAAAATTTTAACTAAGATTCACTCAGGGAGGAACATTCAAGTTTTAAAACATTTTCTTCTGACATATTTATAAAATTGTAAGTTGCCTGAGAAGCATAAAGATAAAAATATAAAACTATGCAGTGAGCTAATATATCTAATGTCTGCCTGACAGTTATCTGTCAGCAGGATGGCCATCCGGGCAGTCTTGATGTTTATCCTGCACAAAGGTCATCATTGCTCACATTACAGCAGAACTGCATGAATCCTGCTGCTGCGTCACGCTCCAGCTGTTTACTAACATCAAAGCAAAGAAGGCGACGGATGACAAATTCTCCACGTTCTCACGCCCCGACCGTGCACACGTACAGATTCCTTCAGTCCTTTACTTATGCAGAAATGTAAGTGTAGAAAGGTGTTAGACTCCTTATTGGTGCGTGTAAACACAATAAGAACAATACGTCAAGTTTAGGATTTGTTTCAAAAACATACATGATAAGCACAAATATGTCTGAGCTGGCACACTTTTAAATCTCAGGCTGTTTTATTTACATCAGCTGAGCAGCAGCTGTCAGCAGTCCCAAGAACCACGCTCTGAGACACTTGAACTCTCCCCCTCCAGATCGGGTCATCGACCCTCTCCAACAGTCTTCAGATCTAAAAACGCACCTCGTCTGAAGGTCTTTTTCAGTCCAGGTTCAGCTTACAGGAGCGTCTCAGCATCATTAATCAGCCCGCAGGTTCCACGTCCTCTCAAAGTTCATTATTCTTCTTAAAACGGAATAATTAAATGGTCGCTTTGCTGTTATAGCAGCAAGTAGGGATGCAACGATACCAATTTTTTCAAACCGATACGATAC